CTCAGGTGTGGATGCTTTACCCCAGAGTTTGGTGTCGTCAGAAAACTTGGCCAGTCCGCTTTTGACACTGATGTCTACATCATTGATGAAGATGTTAAAAATCAAGGGCCCTAGGACAGAGCCTTGAGGGACCCCACTGGTCACCGCGCACCACGACGAATGACTTCCGTGCACCACCACCCTCTGGGTCCGACCGTGGAGCCGGTTCCCCAGCCAGTGGATTGTGGTGAGGTCGAGGCCGCAGTTAGCCAGTTTAGCCAAGAGATGATTGTGGGATACCAGATCGAAGGCTTTTTTAAAGTCAAGATATACAACACTGATCTCTTTCTCCCCTGTCCAGGTGATAAGTCACCTGGTCATAAAAGGAAATGAGATTGGTCAAGCAAGACCTACCCGCAACAAACCCATGCCGGGTATCCCTCAGGATATTGCCTTCAGCTAGTCTGTTATGGATGGCCTCCTTGATAATCTTTTCCAAGACCTTCCCCAGGATAGAGGCCAGGCTGATGGGCCTATAGTTTGCCAGATCTACTTTCCTTCTTTTCTTGAAGATAGGCACGACACTGGCCCTCTTCCAATCTTCAGGCACTTCACCAGAGTGCCAAGAACTCTCAAAGATCTGTGTCAGGGGCTGAGCTATGATGCTAGTCAGCTCCCTGAGTATCCTTGGGCGTAACCCATCAGGGCCAGCTGACTTGAAGATGTCCAGCCTGTCAAGGTGTTCCTTCACGAGGTCAGCTTCGATGGAGGGCAAGGAATCTCCCTCACCCGGGCCTCCCTGACCCACAGTGGGCAGGGCCGTCCCAGGGGACTGGTGAAAGACTGATGCAAAGTACCCATTTAGCAAGTTTGCTTTTTCCTGGGCATCAGTTGTCAGTTGCCCTATCTGGTTTAGCAGGGGTCCAATGTTGCCCTTGCTTTTCCTCCGGCTCCCCACATATCTAAAAAAGGACTTTTTATTTTCCTTGATATTTGTAGCTAGCTGGAGTTCTATCACAGCCTTGGCTTTCCTGGTTTGCTCTCTGCAGGTCCGGACCAGAGCAGAGTATTCCTCCTTGCTGGTGGTTCCAATTCTCCATCCTTTGTAGGTCTTCCTTTTAAGACGCAGGACGTCCGCCAGTTCTCTGGAGAGCCAAGGGGGCTGCTGTGCCCTTTTGCTGCCTTTCCTCTGAGACAGGATGGGCTTTGCTTGTGCTTCCAGGATTTCTCCCTTGAGGAGCAACCACTCATTCTGAACTCCCCCAACTTATATATTAACAGCTCCCCTATATATTAGCAACCTTTTTACAGAAGCAGGACATTGACTGCTGTGTTTTCTGTGCTTTACCTGTGGCAGGTTAGGGCATTATATCTTGTGTTGTGTCAGGGTTGTTGGCAGTTTTACAAAGAGTTTAGCTTATGGATGTATAGGATGGTTTGGATAGGGATGATCTAAATGACGTCTGGAGGTCCCTTCCAGCCATACTTCTCTATGATTTCTATAATTTCTATTTATAGTCCATATTTGCAGGAAACAGTCTTGTACATGGATATATACTCCATGAATGCAGCAAATATTCCACAAGTTATATGAAAGAATTGCAGGGACTGATTTATGATCCATTCTCTTAGCGCTGTTTAGGGAGAGCAAAGGCACTAGATTCTGGCCATATCTGACAAGCACAGCAGGGCTCGTTCCTGGACCAAGATCATCCCCCTGTCCCAGGAAAGAGACTTACTAGGGCAAGGAGGATGAAATGGTGGTATAATTGGAGCTCAGGCCAACTTCCCTGATCTTTCTGATTTCCTCATGATCTCTCAGCGGACCATAGTGCAAATTAAAGTGAATGCCAGCCTCGCACTGAGACCAGGCAGGGCATAGATGACATAGGTCTTAAAACAAGGGAGTCATAACTATGTGAAACACCTGTTGTTGTGGATCCTAGGGGGAAAACAGGTTACTGGACAATAGGCATAGTGAGTACACTGCAGGATGTTACAAATTGCAAGCACTTGACTACAGTTACGTAATTTTTAAATACAAATAATGTAGTGGCTAATAAAAGTTCACCTTGTTTTTATCATTAAGAGCACCACAGTAATCAGCTCATTGACAAAAGACCTCCTATGGGCACATACCCACTTATGCTGAGTAAAGCTTAGATACAGAGATTTAGGGCCTCTCTTCTATAACTACAGCATGGTGAGAGCAGCATACTGAGATCCGTTAGACCCAAAATGAATGTGACATGGGAATGTATTAATCTTTTTAGAGCAGGGATTGAAAACCTTTCACTGAAAGGGGTCCAAATTAACACATCTTGGTCTTAAAGGTGGGCCACAGGTGGCAGCTGTTACATATTCACCACTTGATGGCGCATTCTTGCACAAAACTTACTAATGGTGGGATCATTTTTTGGCACACTTTGTTAGCTGGTTAAAATCTCTTCGCTGGCCAGATCCAGCCAACAAGTTGCAAACCCCTAGTCTAAAAGGTTCAGCTGAATTTGTTTATACAGGTTTCCCTCACCAACCATGGTTTTGCCAGCCACAGTTTTGAGTGTCCACGCTTAATATTCTATATACCATTTTGACTACCACGGTATACAGTTTTGAGTAACCATGGTTTTCCGTTCCTGCGCATCAGCCTGCCACCTGCCATTTTTCCATAAACCTTTTGTATTGCCAACTGCGGTTTTGCCAACCACGGGAACTTTCAGGAACCTAACCCCAGCAGTTGGTGAGGGAAACCTGTACTGATAATTTGCCAACCTCTGTCCTAATTTAATAATGTGGTCAGTGTTCAGTGTTGTCTCCTGATATCTGTATACAGATATAATAGTACCATGCCTGCATGTGTATTCAATTTAACACTTATTCTCTCCCAAAGTTATTGCTCCTTATAACTACAAACACTTAACATGAGGGAAAATTTGTTAAGTAGTTTGTTCTTACTTCATGTGTATATTTATACATATAAATACATATATGCTATGAGCTGTCTCTACTTTTATGTATTACACAACACTGAGCTCATCGTTGGTGTGGAACAAATAAATCACCATAAAGGGCTCTAGATGAAGAAAAATGGGATTATAAAACAGGCATATCTATCTATCTATCTATCTATCTATCTATCTATTGTCATTGTATGCACATAGTAAAAAAGGATAGTGCTCCTTTTATTATAAAGCACATAGCTAAGTTATAACTCCACATACACAACCTCCAGTGAGGATTTATAATAAAGGAATAGCAAATATTGAATCTCTTAAAAGTCATAAAATGACTACATTAAGTCTGTACATTATACCTTTGGAACTCTGGAGAGATGTATCTTTGTTTAGTAAAGAGTGTGTGCAGTTCTAAAAGCTGGGCAGTTGTACTGAGTCTAAAAAGTGGAGAGAATCAGCATCTTGGTTTCCCTGGAGACATTATGAGGTCATCTTTCCAGTTCGATGGCACAGAGAGCTCTAATTCTGAGCTTCACTGCATAAAACATAGGACCACTTTTCTGCAAGTTATAATCTGCAGGGCTATATTACATAAAAAAGAAAGGAACCTATTGTACACATGATGGCTGAGTAGGCAGCACGTTGCATCGTCTACAGTGAGATGTACCATTTGATCACAGGTATTTATGAAGGGAGAGTAAAGAGAAATTTGGGGGGTTTCAGGTCCCTTGGCTTTTCATCTGTCTTTCTGACAAAAACAGAATAAAATATTAGACATGAAGAGAATCTTGGTAGGGAGGGAAGGAGAGAAGGAGGGAGAAAAAGTGCCAAAGTGCAGTTGAGCAGAAGCACTTTGTGTATATAATTTAACAAAAAGAAAAAAAATCTTGCTAAAAATCAATAACTACCATTTGAAAATATTTATAATGACATGTGAATGGGCCTGTATGGTATACAGGTCACAGTTACCCCTGTTATCTGTCACTGGGTGCATCTACATGTGTCACTATGGTGATGTTGTTACTACATTGTGATTTAGTACTTCCTTTTGGAAGTACTAAATCATGGCACAGTAACAGTCTGTACTTCGTCGTATGCACGGCACATGGTTATTTTCAGCAGCTACTTCGCCATAGCGGCACACTATAGTGGGGGAGTGTGTTGCTAAAGTGAAATAGCTGCTGGTGACATGTAGATGCCCACGGACACTGTCGCCATAGTGTGTTGCTACGGCAATGTAGTGTCATGTGTAGACACACCCACTGTATTGTAAAACGTAATACATGTCTCTCTGTGATTTCCTTAGTAATTGTTTAATGTATATTAATTGAGATTTCCAAGCTGTGATAATGGTCTAAGCAGCTACCAAAGCACTTTCTCACTTGCAGCTCTCACATGTAGTATTTTGCCAGTTCTGTCTCCTGGATATTAAATTAAGTGCAAGGTGCAATAGTGCAGTCATTGCAATAATCTTTTGTCTTCTCCTCTAGAGAAGGAAATAAAAACATTGTGAGATATACATAGTTCAGTATAGCCCATTCATGTATGTCAAACTAATTCTTGAGTTACCACATTAACTTGCTGTAGCAAGCAATTCCTGCACTGGGAAAACAAATGCAAAGCTCCACATTACTTACGTCCCTGGTTGGCACCTTTTTGTGGGGGACTATGGTGGATAGACTCTCAGGTATGTCTATACATTCTGTGTATGCCGCAAAAATCATTTCTCTAATGGCTTCTTTGCAAAGGGATGTTCAGACCATGACAGAAAAAAGCTAAAGGACAAATGCCAGGGGAGAAGCCCTGGAGTCTGTGCTTATGGCTCCAATGTCACATCCAGCTGGCAGCAGATAGAGGTTGAAACCAGTACTTAAACACCAGTGCCAGGTTGGGGGAAGTGGGTTTACCTTCCAGTCAGCACCATCTGGCCACTTCTTCCCTATAGAGCCTGATCACTTTGGTCTCCACTGGGTGTATCTACATGAAATGCTTACAGCGGAGTTGCCTGATTAGCTCTGCAGTAGTCATAACATCTACATGTGCAGCCCTATTAGGTAACTAATAAACACTGCTGTAGGCTAGTATTTGTAAACGTAAGTGCTATTCTACAGTGTCCTTATTTAGTGCGCCACAACACACGTGTAGATGCTGACAGGGGTGGCTGGGGCTTGAGGGTGCTTCAGTGCAGAGGCTGCCTTGCTGGCTAGCCCCACATGGGAGAACCTTTGTGCCCCAGCCAGCCCCCTCCAAAATACATTGAGCTGGGTTGGAGAAGCCCCAGGCTGGCAGGTTGATCCCCCAAACCTCCTGCCAGTTGGGGGTACTCCTGCCTGGCTCAATATGCTGTGGTCCTGGGCGCACACGTAAATGCAGCGCCATAAAGCAATAAACTCTGGTGCAAACTGCAACAGAGTTTATTGCAGATTTTAAAGTCAGAGAGTTACTATAATCATCTAGTTTGAATTCCTGCAGAATAGGACAGTGTTTCACCCAATAATTCCAGCAGTGGAAGGAATTTTTCTTTTCTACTTGTTTTCTTTTATTTGCGCTCTACTTTTGAGGTCAATAACTTGTGGATAAACTAGAAAATATTGTTGTAAAAGACATCCAGTCTCAAATCTCAAACCCAGAAGAAGTTTGTTTTACCTTTATACAACCAATTCCGCTCTAAACATAAACATGCCTAATATACATATAACAAGCAATGTTAACAAAAGCTTTACAGAACTCCTGCTTGCAGAAGCAGAAAGAGCCAATCCTTTTATAATCAGATTTCAGACTTGTGTGTGGAGTTCTGCTTAGAAAATTAGACCCCTTGCTCTCTAATCAGTACCCATTGCAAGCAACCAGAGAACCTCAGTTCCTATTCTGGCAGTCCTATCCTGTGAAGAGTAAAAATCAGGAAGCTTTATTAAATCATGTAAAAGCAAAAGCAAAAAAAACCCAACCAAAAAAACAAAACAAAACATTGTGTGATATCAATCAACACAGGCTAAAGAGAGAAATATCCTGGTAAAGATGCTTGTTAATCATAATTAAAAAAAACTTATGCACGTATGTGCACATACACACAACACATTTGGCTCTCGGTAATAAAGGTGAAATATCAAAACTGGTAAGGTTGCAGCTGTGTCCTGAAGAACAGAATTTGGCCCAAAGCGTACAGTTCGTTATCTAACATTACTAAATATGAAATCATATTGTAGCAGATACCTTTAAAACATCCCTCATGGTGCACAGTTAATTGTTTGCATTCTATTACCTAATTTACTCTGCATCCACCTCAATAAAAATGTTATGGTTGCTTGATAAGAAAAATCATGTTTATGAAGAAATAACTTATAAGACATGAAAAATTGTTAAGTAATTACTGAAGAGGTGCTGCATGCCTGTATGATAGTTTAAACAGAAATAACTGAGCATAGATAAAAGAAAAACTCATAACCAGGAGAAGCCATGTGAAAAAATATTAGCAGAATCATATAATTTCATACTGTGATTTTGTTACAAATATTATACCAAGATACAACTTTTACTATATGGGACTTCTGATATTTTAATTCGATGTCCATGTGAGATTAGCTTCTGACAGGATCTGAAGGCCAGTGAATCATCTTTGAAATCATATTTTCTATGTAAGTACTGTACTTTACCTTGAACATGATACTTTCTCTATATTTTTATGTATTCACATTAATCTGCTCAACCCCATAACCCCCGGGCCCCAAAGGCTGCTGTCAAGGCAACATAGCAAATATATCTTAGCCCTACCAAACACAAATTCCCCCTGCAGCCATCAGTCACTCTGCCAGTTTGTCGGGCAGCTCAGAAAAATGGCAAGCAACCCAAGAATACCTGCTGCTATGCTCTCAGGAATCCTGCCTGTTCCTTGAAGCAGTCACAACGGTGTTAAACAAAAATAAAAAAAGAAAGGCCTGTGGGACTTGCTTCCTTAGCATGTCAGCACGTGAAGTGGACAGACGGGGGTGACAAGTTCCTTGGGACTCTTGGAGGGCTGCGACTGAAAGCTTTTGTTTACTCTGGTCTCTAGGTAACCGTAATGCCTGCCCAGGCTAAAAAAGTGTACGGGGGGAATTAGCTGGCGTGCTTTCCTTACGCTGATTGTAATGTACAGGCAGTCCTCGACTTACAATGTTTCGAGTTATAATGTTTCGCAGTTACAACATTTATAAGTTGACACCCTGTTTCAACTTAATGACATCAGTTTTGACTTTACAATGCTTGATCTGATGCAATGCCATGCCAGTGAACAAGTTTGCTGGGTTGCTCATCTTTCTGGAGAACATTTGTCCAAACTTCCTTGGACACTTTCTTTAAGAAAACAGACAAAACTCCAGAAAAACCTGCAGTCAAGACTCCTGAGAATACTCCAGCCAAGAGCCCTTCAAAAAGTCCAGCAAAGTCACCTCAAAGAGTCTTTCCAAATCAACATGATTGCTATTTACAATATAAATATATTAATGTAGCTATATTACTCCTCTATAATTGATCGAGTACAAAATTCTGGGGTATTTTTGGTGAAAATAGGTTATTGGGCTTTGGTTCAGGAACCAATCCCTCATTTATAACATTGTTTCTTTTGAGAAAATTGGTTCCAAGTTACAATGTTTCGACTTAAGACGTGGTTTTCAGGAACCAATTGTGTTGCAAGTCTGAGGACTGCCTGTATAAGGATTTGATAATGATAGAGTGAGGAACATTCATTCTTGTCTTAGATGGGGCAGTGGATGTAAGGAGTGAACACTGAGATCCTTCCCTCTCACATCACTGATGAAATCTGGAAGTAGTTCCCAGGGTGTCACAGTTGTGGTGGTGGTGTCACAGGCCTGGGGTGAAACCGGAAATCACAGAATCGTAGAAATTAAGGGCTGGAAGGGACCTTGAAAGATCATTGAGTCTAACCCTCCTGCTCTGAGCAGGAATACTGCTGAGATCAAATGATCCCAGCAAGGTGTCTGTCCAGTCTCCTCTTGAAGACTTCCAAGGTTGGGGACTGCACCGCTTCCTTGGGAAGTCTACTTCAGATTCTGGCCACCCTTACCATAAAGAAGTTCTTCCTTACATCCAACCCCAAACCATCCTCTAACAGTTTATGGCCATTGCTCCTTGTTGTCTCCTGGGGTGCCCTAGTGATCAGTTTTTCTCCTAGCTCCCAATATTCACTTCTTACATGATGGCCACCAAGTCCCCCCATCAGTCTTCTCTTCCCCAGGCTGAACAGTCACAGATCCCTTAGTCTTTCCTCATAATGTTTCTCCTCCAGGCCCTTAAGTATTCTTGTGGCCCTTCTCTGGACCCTTTCAAGATCCTCCACATCTTTTTTGAAGTGTAGTGCCCAGAACTGGACACAGTACTCCAGCTGGGGTCTCACCAGCACTGAGTAGAGAGGAAATATCATTTCCTTAGCCCTGCTTGTAATGCATTGACTAATACATCCCAGTATGCTATTAGCTCTGTTGACTACAGTGTCACACTGGCAGCTCATATTCATCCTGGGATCAACCATAACCCGGAGGTCCCCTTCAGCCATTGTGCTTACCAGGACATCTCCTAACTTATATTCATGTCACTGGTTACTTCTCCTCAGATGAAGCACTCTGCACTTATCTTTATTGACCTGCATACAGAGTGAGACAGAGAGAGTATTCATGAGAGATGCAACTGGCACAAAAACTGCCCTCTCTGGATGCAGACTCACTGCAAGGTTCTTAGTTACTTCAAATGGCACCATTTTGCAAACAGTTTCCCATCATATTCTCTCCAGAGAGCTTTGTACATGGTGAGTTCAGAAATGCAACCCAAAAGAGTATTCACCCTACTAGAAAGGGTAGGGATTTTCCCACCCAGAAGGTCCTACCCTGCTTTCTAGGCCTCCTTCTCCCATACATACTTTCCCCCTGCTGTGAAGGCGATGCCCACAGACCTTCTGAGTGACCAGCTGCCCAGTGTGTGACTGGCCTCTCCTTCACACTCATGCTTTCCAGTGGGGCTGCAGGACTGTCCTGCCATTGCAACCCCTGACTGTCAGAGGTCCTTGTGGTGCCTGGCAGCATCTGCCTCACTTCCTTTCCTGCTGGATCTGAGCTGAGGGAAGAGCCAGGAGGCTGCAAAACAGGAAAGAATCTTGTCCTTATTCCAAACCAGTTCTCCTTGCAACCAGCCCACCTCCCCTTCCAGCCCATCTTCCACGCAGGTAATCCAAGCATCCTTTGTCTTCTTCCCTGCCAAACCTGCCAAGTTTACCTTTGTTCCCCCAGTCTATTTCCCCTAGGGCTTAGGCAACATGAATTGACTTTAAACTGAAGTTTATGGCTGTGTGTGAATAATTTACAAATTCTTGCACAAGGAAATTTGCATAGTTATAAATAATTTCCATAAAACTTAGCAACTCTACAATCTCCTATGCTTCCAGGCTTAACTTAACTGTGATGATTCCCCAGCTGGCATTGAAATCCTCAACTGCCTCTGAGCATTGCCTGGGAATTATCCAGCCCTGGCTAGATCATGAAACAGACACTATAGCCTCTTCTGGAGGAGGTCAAAAGGCCTACTGATCTGTTTGCAAAAGACATGGCTAAAAGATAAATTTGGTCTCCTCTTTCTCAAAGGAACATATCCAGGCTAGAGATATGACCACCCTTTGACTTGTCTTCCATTGTAATTGTTGTGCCCTGGTATATGCTCAAGGGGCAGCAGACATTGCTTTTTTTTCTGGAGGCCTGGCTGTAATGAGCTCTACTCAATGAGTTGCCCCAGCTCCACTGAACTATTCTCCCTCCTCTGCGTTTCAGAGGGTAGGATGGCTTGTTCCTGACTTTCCCCCCTAATGTCTCTCTGGCAACACAAGCCAGTGTTTTGATCCTTGTCTGCAGTCTCCATGGATGTTAATCGCAAACATCTAAATGTGATACCTGTGCTAACTCCCCTAGCATACATTACTTCACTGAATTTGTTTACAACTAGGAGAGACCAAAGATAGTCAATAATTTAACAGTGCTGCTGTTAAACTGACAGTATACAGGGAGCAAAGCTAAGTAAGCACTGAAGCGAGATGATAATGTGATCATTCAGCCATTATATATATAATGAGATGACCATATATCATCTCTACATCAGTAAATTCATCCGGAGGATGTCAGTGGTCGGTGTTATGTAAAATTCATGTGCAATTGTACACTGCAGAACTGACATTGTCTGTTAGTTAAAGAAGGAAAATGCAAAATGTCAATTTTATCTTTTTGTTGGGACTGCTATAGATGGATAATGACTTTACAGTTGTACACCAGAAAGGAGCAGTTGAATATATCTTTCATATTGTCCTCAGAATATAGCAGAGTGACAGAATTTCAGTGAATTTCATAATCACTATTCTACCTTAATAAAATGGAATAGATTTAAGAAAAGCAATAATTTTAAATTGTTCTGTGACCTCATGGATATAATATAACATACCAATAGTAACTAGACAAACTCAGCAATGCAGCAGAAACAGCACCAGGACTTTCAGGGATGTGCTGTCCAATATTTTTCTAGTGGTACTTCTGGAAACTCCTAGAGAATTCTAGAGGAGTTGGAGCCATTACTGTGTGACCTCTTTTGCAACTCCCAGGACAGAGGCAGTGGCCTGACAAAGGACATTGTGGCTGAGATACATCTCTGCTCTGCCTGCCTTTGTTCTGGCTGCCAGAAATACCCCTTTGTGCTGGAGAGATGGTAAGGAATAATGTTTTAGGGCTACATCTTATTCCTATCAAAAATTACCATTTTGCTATTATTCTAATTGGAGCAGAATAAGGACAATAATTCTGATAAAAGTTGGCTTTTGTGGGATGAGAGAGAAAGGTCAACTGGTTGGTTGAAGAGTTAGTCAGGGGTCAGAGAGTGAGGTCACACTGTGGCAGTTTCCCATGTGTAGCAATGTGCAATCTTTCTACTTCCTGTTGACATCTAAGGAGGTGGGAGAAAATAGCCGATAACAGTGGCGATGCGTAGGGGGTGCATGGGGGTGCACATGCATCCCCTAAGAGTGCTGGTGCACCCCCTGACTGGCCACAATTCCCAATCAAGCAATGGGCAGGGGGCAGGCAGGAGCGCCGGTGGCTCTCCTGCAAGCACCAGCTGAGGAGTGGGAAGTGACCATGTACCACCCCCCTGGTCAGTGAGATTGGCCATGGGGGGACACCCCCCTGGTTGCTGACTGGTTGCTGGGGGGCGGGGGGGGGGGCATGTGTCCCCCCCGACTAAGGTGGCACCAGTTGCCCATAGCTGATAATGTTCATACAACTCACTGTCACCAACCCAACTCTTTTTGCGGTCTTTCCCAAAAGCTATAGGAACCTTTTATATTCTTTGGCTGTAGATCAGTGCTTCAGTAACACCTGAAGTTTAGTCCTTCTGTACACCTTCCTATCCTAAGAGTTCTGCACAAGAACCCTAAGCATTTCAAGTCTTTGTATTAACAGCTATTTATGTCAAATGGCCCTTACAGAGCCATGTATACAAATAAGTACCTAATAATGAAAAAGTTACAGTTATAGTTACAGTGGGTGTTCATTCATTTCCTTGAAATACCATCATCCCCTTAATTTAGGACCTCCTTTTATTTCTACGCTTAGCAAATTTTTGCTTTGCTTGTTATACAATGCTTCTAATTTTATCTTTTCTTCTGCTGTTGGGAAGACATTCTACTTGCTGCTGATTAATACAAATGACATCAATAGGATAGTCAGTCTTTGATTATAAAAGATTTGTATAGACTAGAAACAATGGGTCCAATAACCCACTTCTGGAGACTACTAGTACAGTTCTGCAACAGAAATCTCTATTTGAAGCAGGTATGGGTGTTTGTCTAGGTCATCTGAGACCCACATACTGTTACATTAGATATCCTACCATTTCTAGAATGGATTGGTGGGGTTTCATTGGTAGCCACT